CAAATGGAAATTGATGCTGCCTCTGTCACTTGCAGCAAAGCTTTCAAGACAAAAAAAGAGAGGATAACATTCTTTTTTATCTGGCAGGAGAGGAGAAAAAAAGTGAAGAGAATGAGATGAGAAACAGAAAACATATGGTTTGCTGTAGAATTTTGATGAGACTCATTTGTTTCAGGAATACATTGTCCTCAAACCTGATTCTTCAGAGGCAGTCTGGACTTCAGACATTGTCAGGTTTAGTAGGGAGACCGTACGGGTGCGTTCTGCAAGAGCTACAACGATGTAACAATCACAAGTGATAATTCAGCCAAAATAGGATTGCCTCTCATCTTGTCTCCCTTGCATATTTTGATTTGCAAGAGGAAATGAGAAACAAGTCCAATCTGGTTTTATAGACATTGCGAGGCTTGACGTGTCACTCCTCAGTCTTATTCATGAGCATCCTCTCTCTCTCTCTCTTCAACATTTCTAAACACAAAACACAGTGTTGGCAGTGACAAATCAGCCAATCATGTGACATGAGATCATATCGCACTGTAAATATATACAAGGTGTCATTCATAAACAGATGATTTATAATCTGGAACAAAACAAATTTCTGAAAGATCAGACAATAATGTATTATTACTGTATGACTGATATGTGGGATGTGCATGAAGCCAAATATCTTTTTCAGAAAGGCATGAAGAATGACCTCTCAGTGAATAACTACCAAATAACAGAAAAACATATTCTGTAGGCTGTTCATTTAATGTACATAAAACTGCAATAAATATATTACATTTTCATTTTTTTCTTAAAGAGGTCATATGATGCGATTTCAAGTTTTCCTTTCTCTTTGGAGTGTTACAAGCTGTTCGTGAATAGATAAGATCCTTAAAGTTGCAAAGACTAAAGTCTCAAACCCAAAGAGATATTCTTTATAAAAGTTAAGATTGGTCCACGTCCTCCTAAAATGCCTTGTTTAAACACGCCCCCACATGTCTACGTCACGATGTGGGAAGATTTGCATAACACCGCCCAAATGTTCACGCAAAGAAAGAAGGCGTAACTTTGATTCTTGCTGTAGTATTGTTGCTGCCGCCGCCATGTCGTGGAGACACTGTGTGTTTCGTTGTGAAAGCGAAACTACTTTGTTTGGTCTTCCAAAAGAGGACACAACTAGAAATCAGTGGTTAAGTAGTATTTACAACACTGTTCCATAGGGCTGGGCGATTTTCCCGATTTTATCGATTAATTTGAATTGATTGTTTTGCCACGATTTAATTTTTTAGAAATCGAGGAATCGCGATTTTGAATAGAAATATTACCAAATGTTACAATTAGACACTTTGACAATATGCCGGTGATAACAGTAAAGAGAAACGAATGATCCAACCGCATGTCGGCGCACGTGGTTAACCGCTCACATGTGACGCGCTCTGTGAAGGACCATAGCGCTAAGCGCCATTCACACAAAATGCGCTTTTGTGTTGACAAAGATGCGACGCGGGCAGTGGAATAGGTAAAACATGCAAGAAGATGGGAGTGAACTTCTATTAACTTGAGTGCAGTGTTTTTAGAATGGCGTTTCATGCAAGAGACACTGAAAGAGATGCGAGCGCAACAGTCAAACACATCCATGTTTACATAGAAAAAACTATGGAAAAGCAGCGCAATCGAATAAAAACCTGTAAAGAACTACTACTGTATGTCTGATATTTCATGTTTGCATCATGGTGACAGGCTGAAAGCTGCTGTTGTTTTTACAGAACATTTATAGTTAAT